TTTGTACAAAAGCTGGCCTTTGGTCGTTAGAGGGACTGCCCTTTCTTAAGTTCATCCATCACCTTCATTGCTTCTCTTACAGTTTCAATATTTGTATCAATTTGATCAGCTAACACATCCTTGTCTTCCAAGGCTTTGAGCAAGTTTCATGGCAGATTTGAAAACATCAGATAAAAACATATCATGGAAAGCTCGACCAAGCTGAGTGCTGGCTCTTTGTTGCTCAATGAGGTCATCTGCATCCTTAGCAAACTCTAAATGAGGTCATCTCCAAAATTGTCATGCTGCATGCAACGGGGAAGACAGGGATGGCATCAACTTCATAATTCATGTACATTTCCAATCAGAAAAACAAGAAAGCCAGAATTCCTCCGTTCGTCTTCAATCTTAAAACAATAATGAGAAGAAGCAAGACCTCTTTCCAAGTAATTATACTACCATCTAGAAATCTAGTAATTATATTACCATATTACCATCTAGAGTAATTATGTTTAAATTGATATTTAGATTTCACATGGAGTAAAGATCACAATTTCGTCCAAAGTTTAGTTTTTTCTCCCATTCTTGTCAACAAGACAACAACCAAACTAATCAATTACACGAAACACCATGTGTTCTTCAGATCATGAAAAGAAAAGACACCAAACTGCCCAATCCAGCAAACATGACCCAGCATAGGCTCAATAGATAATTACAACAACAAGAGAATAGAAAAACAAATACAAAGAGGATTTATATGTACGCAAGTCAACACTAGAGAAGACTGGGTGAGCCATGTTAAATTCCGAATAGAATCAATTTGACCAGCATTGTTCAAGAATAACACCCATTAACTCCCACTTGTAATTATACATCGCCCATCTGATATAAAATTGAACAAGGTGCTGTTCATCGTCTCCAAATTCCAAACAACCAGACAAAATCACGATACGGGCAATAATATTCCAAAATAGTAAAGTCCATACCTGATAGATGAGGGCGTCCCTGTAGTGCTGAAGACGGAGATAGACTTCGCCGAGGGACTGACACGCCGGAAGCAGCTGCTTTTCCGGCAAGCAGGGCCGGCCCTGGCCCAAGGCTACTGAGGCAGTGGCCTTGGGCCACAAATTTTCAGGGGCCTCACAAAAAAAAAACAACCAATACACTCC